CCCCCAACACCCTCATTACCTCCTCCAAAACCCCCCTATACCCCCCCTCCAACCCCCTCCCACTCCCCCCCATCCCAAAAGTTTCTCAGCAGATTTGGGCTGTACTCCTCAAGCGCAGTACAGCCCCCAACTGAGATTTGAAAAAACATCAGTGGATGGTTGTTTTCTGACTGGTCGGCAGACCGCCGACCGGTCGGCCCTACTGGTCGGCTGAAATATGGTCGGCGGTCGGGGTCGGCGGTCGGGGTTCTGCCTTCACACCGTCCATGCAGATCCAATCCATCCAGTCATCCATCCTGCGTATCCATCCATCTTGTTCACTCATCACAGCCCGCCCACCCATCTATCCATCTTGTCCATTTCCGTTCTCCAACCTGTTTTTTTTTTCCCTCCATACCTCCTGCATACTGCAGCGCAATCGCATCTGAACCATATCTCTACCACTTTTACCAGGTCACTGCCACACAATCCCAGATACCAACCAGTGAGCGTGCCTGATGCCACCCGAGATACCGACCAGTGAGTGCGCCTGCTGCCACGTGATTGCAGACACCAACCAGTGAGTGTGTCTGCTGCCACACGATTGCAGACACTGACCAGTGAGTGTGCCTGCTGCCACACGATTGCAGATACCGACCAGTGAGTGTGCCTTCTGCCACACAGTTCCAGATACCGACCAGTGAGTGTGCCTGCTGCCACACACTGCCAGACTATCGCGGTCTGATCTTCAGGCGACATGTGCCTTCACACCTGTGCACGTGCGCCTCACGTTTGTTCCATGGATCGCACAGACCGATGTGCGCACAGACCGCTAACACTCACAGACCAAGTCGCCGACAATGTCGGACATCGCGGTGTCCGTGAGTGCGTCCAGGAATTCATCGGTTTATCTGTCAATTTGTCCCTCTGGTCCATTCTCTCTCATTCTTTTCCCTCTCAGTTGATTGGCCTCGTACAAGTAGGGTAATGAACTAGGAATTTTCTAAGCTAAGAGTCCAAGCTAGCAGGTTAATTATTGATAAATCTATCCACATTATATTTTCTTTGTTTCCTTTCTCCCTCCCTCTCTCACTACTGGATTCGAACTCAGGTTTATTTCAGCCGTTCATGGGTGTACCAACTGAGCTAGGCCCGTTGGTGCTCCTTTTTCCCTCTTTCCTTTGTGCATCCCTCCTTTTTTCCCTGCCTGCCTCCCGGCCTCCCTACTCTCCTCTCCAGTGCTCCATCCTCTGCGTTCTGGACCAGCCCAGACTGATTCTAGGACTGGCAGACGCATGCAAAGGGATAGGGAGGTGGGGAGGAGGAGATTACTTACTCTGCAGTACTCTCTATCGCTCTGTCCTCTCCGTCCTAAATCAACCCAGACACTGGTTATAGGAGTGGCAGATATGCACGAGAAGACTGCAGAGTACCCCATCCCCATCTCCCCCCTCGCTATCCCTTCGCACATGTATCAACCAGCCCTAGAACCAATGCCTAGGACGATCCAGGACGGAGGGGATGGAGCGATGCAGAGGAGCAGGGAGGCTGGGAGACAGGCAGCCAAAAACGGGAGGGAAGAAAGAAGGAAACAGGGAAAAAAAAGCACCAATGAACATAGCTCAGTTACGTACACCTGTGAACTGTTTGAATCCACGATCGAATCCATGTTCGAATCCACGTTCGAATCCATGTTCGAATCCACGTTCGAATCCACGTTTTCTCTTCTTTGTCGTGTCTGAAGATGTGCATGAACCACACACATAAGTCTTATCCTCAGGGCGGCAACAAACGATGCACCATACCATCACAGCATGTCAGGAGGAAAACATGCATCTGACCAAGTCAACTCGGAAGGCAATTCTCAACGTAATACAGCCAAACAGACCCGACGAAAGGATGGAAGACAGGAAAAGTACAAGCGCAAGACCGAAAAGAGCAAGAAGGACCTGGGGGGGTAGGGGGGAGGGGGGAGGGGGGGGAAGAAGAAACACAAGGTTAATGACAGACTCTTCTGTTGGACTTGCACCAACTCATCAGGAGGCTGAACCCCCGACAATCTGCGGAATCCCCATGTTGATGCTTTGAGTCATGGACTCTTTTAACCCCTGTTGTAAGTGGATGGACAACCAGCAGCAGAAGCAGCAAGGCAAGGACGAGGCAACAAGGCATTGGACGACAAGCAGCAGCAAGTCACAGGCACAGGGGAGGTGAGTCCGCAGACAAACAACAAGGCAAGCAGTACGGGCGCCACAATGACCAGCACGCCACACGCAGCAATGGATCAAGGCAACAAGGCAGCCAAACCACAAGGCAAGCAGTGCGACACGTTGAACAAGGCAACAAAGCATCCCAACCACAAGGCAGCAATTCACTCACTTGTAGTGAACCAAGCAGGCAGTGAGGCAAGCAGGCAGTGAGGCAAGGAGGCAGTGAGGCAAGCAGGCAGTGAGGCAAGCAGGCAGTGAGGGAGGCAAGCAGGCAGGGAGGCACAAAGCAGCAGCGAGACAGTGAGGCAAAAATCAGCAAGGCAAATGACAGAGGCAAATGACAGTAAGGCAAATGACAGTGAGGCAAACTAGAGCCAAAGGACAAGCAAAAGAGTGCCAATATCGAAGTTCTGCCAGGCCAATTTGGCATATGGTTTGCCCGCTAGATCAGCAAATCAAGCTCTACTAAGCTTTTTCATTATATCAGGGATAGGTGCGTAAAGCCAAGGCACGCGGATGGGACGCCAGGCAGAAGAGCAACACAGACAAAGAAGTTCACACAAACCAACACGGACCAGCGCAGCCCATCACCTACTCACACCACAAGTAGTACATCGCAGACTGTAGGTTCCCACCACCTGCGGAGCCAGGAAGCCACTCCGACGAGCGCCTGTCATCACCCAGGACAAAAGGCACAGGCATCCCAAACTCAGCCGCCCCCCAACTACCGGTAGTGTTGCAGGCACTCAAACAACAACCGACATTGACTATCAGGCACGTCTTAGAGGCGCTCACTTAGACACAGAGAAAGTACTTACACAAGTTAGAAATAAAAGGAGGGGGGAATA